GCGGCAGGGCTGGGTTGGGGCCGGGGAGGGGCACTTCTCTCCTGGCAGGGCCGGGCTGGGTTGGGGCCGCGGAGGGGCGCTTCTCCCCTGGCAGGGCCGGGCTGGGTTGGGGCCGCGGAGGGGCACTTCTCCCCTGGCAGGGCCGGGGCTGGGTTGGGGCCGGGGAGGGGTGCTTCTCCCCTGGCAGGGCCGAGGCTGGGGAAGAGGAATCTCACCCTGCTGGACGGCGCTTTTTAGGCAGCTGCGCAGCTTAGAGGGGACTGAGCCCCACACAGTTGCCGGGAGAGGTGAGAGCAACCAGCAGTTCCAGTTCCCGATTCTCTGCCCCAGCCCCGGGCAGAGCAGCCTGGGGGTTACCCTAATCCACACTAGCTGCCCTCAGTCCCCTGGGGACCCCACTCCTGCTGGGGGTAGCTGGAGCACAGCCTGCAACACCCGCTGCTCCTTCCACGTCTGATGTGCCCCCCTGCACCCCAACATGCCACCTGCACCCGGGGCTGTGGGAGCGGTGATGTGGGAACATACTGGCTCTGTGCCCACTGGAGACTCCCCTCCCTCAAAGCAGAGGAAATTCCAGCAGGTCTGGCAGGTGTTTCTGCTCTCAGTGCTGGCTGAGTGGTATGGATCAGAGAATCTGCCCCAAAGGGCTGACTGTGGCCCCCTGACCCTTTTGGAATCATGTGTCTGGCCCTGGGGCTGTAGGGGGACGACTCTGCTGTTGGCTGATGACCGTGCACCCTGATACTACAGCAATGGGCAGGTACCATAGACATTTTTTAAAAAGCAAATAAGTGCCCGATACTGCCCCCGCTGGAGTTGATGGGAGTTTCACTCTCTCCTTGGTTGGAAGTAAGATACATCCCGTAGTCCAGGGGTTCTCAAAGTGGGGGTCGGGACCCCTCAGGGGGTCACAAGGTTATTACATGGGGAATCGTGAGTTGTCAGCTTCCACCCCAAACCCTGCTTTGCATCCATACATAATGGTGTTAAATATATAAAAAGTGTTTTTAATTTATAAGCAACATGCTTGCTGTTTGAAAGGGGTCACCAGCACAAAAGTTTGAGAACCACTGCCGTAGTCCTTCCAGGGACACCATCAACTTGAACCTCAGGCTTCAGTCTGACCTGGGTCTGTGGTGTGCTACCAACACGAGAGCCATGCACACAGGATCCCTGTCACCGAAAGAGATTAGGGAGGAAAAATCCTCTGGTCAGATCTTTGTACAGTTGGTGGCACTTTGTGTCTAGCTAGTTTTGCTGTTCCCGTTCTAGACAGTGAGTCACTTCTCCTATGTGTGTGGGTCCTTCGCACAGCAACGAGGCGTGCAGGGCCGGCTCTAGGTTTTTTGCCGCCCCAAGCAAAATAAAACCCCTTCCGAGAGCGCAACTGCTGAAGCAAAAAAAAAAAAAAGGGGGCCGGAGGGCTGCCCCAAGCACACGCTTGGTTTGCTGGTGCCTGGAGCCGGTCCTGGAGGGGTGGGAAACATTTGAAAGCTAGGAAAGTGGAATTGCAAATCAACAGCAGTTGGCAGGGGGCTGTAGGGCAAGACCTGGGCCTGACACTACTTTGAAATCATTGTCTACAGTCGGCTCGACTTTGAGTCAACAGCGTCGCTTTATTTGGAGCTGCTGTCAAGTCCCTTTGCCGAGGGAGAGGCTCGGCAGTAGTGATCATGCTACTTTGTCCCCCCGCTGGTGTTTCTCTTTGGAGAGTCTCAAAGGTTAATTAAGTCTCAGCACCCCTCTTTCAGCCAATGAGGTAGTCATGTATTGTCACATGCATTTTGCAGATGGGAAAACTGCAGCCCAGAGAGCACGCCTGGACCAAGGCTGCCTAGCGGGCCTGGGACTAGAGCCCACAATCTCTGATTGCTAGTGCCTTGTTCTAACCCTTAGCCCCTGGTATTTGCTAGGTGCCAAAGCATCGCTCCCTGGTACACCCAGACCGAACCCTGCTGAAGCTCTGGTGACTCCCCAGCGTGGCTCCCAGCCTGATAGTGCCCCTGAGTTATTCGAGGGCTCTGTTGAGTAGTTTTGTCTCTTTCAGATGGCGGAACGGAAGCTCCTCATTCTCTTTGGCAGCCAGACTGGGACAGCTCAAGATACAGCCGAGAGAATTGGCAGGGAAGCCAAGCGGCGCCGCTTTCACTGCAGGGTAGAGGCCCTGGACAGTTACCCTGTGGTGAGTATGGGGGTAAAATGAGTGGTGAGGCCGAGAAGAGCCTTGTGCAGCTTCTATATTCATCCCTTGCCACTGAGTTCCTTTCAGGGTGTGCTGGATAGCACCCCGGCCGCACGTCAGCCGCCTGCGCTCTGACAGGGCTTGGCTTGTGCGCTGGCCTCCAAGTCCCCTTGCAAGCGCACAAGCTCTACGCTGCTGCAGAGACTGAGAACTGGGAAGGAGTTAAACAGGCCTTTAGCTGTGTTAGTGCAAATAGTGCCACCCTGGGTTTACTTAGAGCCATTTTCTACGAGACAAAGAGCATGAGCCTGTCCTGCAGAAACTGGGGGTGTCAGGGGCCAGAATAAGATAAAGCAAAGCCACTTGCGAAAACCACAAACGGGTCTTGTTAAAACCTGCTGTTCGTGCGGTGCTGGGTGGGCTGAGAGGCTCCGACAAAGTGCGCCAGGCCCTTCTGAGCACACGGCTGTACTGCGTAAACCTGGGCTTGATTAAAGCTGCTGGATGAGATCCGTGCTGTGCTCACCTGCCTGCCTGTCCCCAGAATGCCCTCCCTGCTGGTGTCCTGTGCAGGAGAGCGCTGTGGGGGGCTGGGGCTGTGGGGGAGGACCTTGTGAGGGGCTGGGGATGTGCAGGATTGTGGTTTAAGGGCTGAAGCTGTGCAGGGGGACAGTGTGCAGGGCTGGAGCCGTGTGGGGCTGTGTGGGGGGGACAGTGTGCAGGGCTGGGGCTGTGCAGGAGGGCGGTGTGGGGGTCTGGCTGTACAGGGGGGCAGTGTGAAGGGCTGAGGCTGTGCGGGGCTGGAGCTGGGGGGGTT